GAAAATTCTCATGTAACAGAAGGTCAGGGCTTAAATGTCTCCTCCCTGGGATTTGCTAAGACAATGTGAATATAGAACACATTTATGAAAAATCATGCAATATTCTGCATGCTTTAGAGCCATTTTTACTTCCCCTGTGGTACAATTTTCTGATCTTACACAAATCTGAAGAGTTGCTGCAGGGAAGTCTGAGAAGTCAAGTGATTAGCCTTCTCATCTGGGACATGGGAGATGGACTGAAAATCCTTTTCCAAGTCAGAGTCTGAACCAAGACATTTTCTTCACGGGAGTAAATTATTTTTATGGAAAAGTAAGTGAATAATTATATATTTCCTGAAGTAACACGAGCACATGAGCCACAGCAATCAGCTCCAGCATTTTTTTTCTACCCAGTGCTCAGGCAGCTACATCCATGCATACATACAGACCATGCATACCCTGATGGAGCCAGTATTGAGACGCGCTTTCAGCTTCAAGCAGTGGCAGAAATAACACACTTTTAGGTGTCTACAGGAAGACACCTTATACTAGAGGAGGAACTTTTGAGATGTCGATGGTGTTTAAGTAGGGATTACATTAAGAACGATCACTGTTTAAATGGGTGATTTTTTCAGATCAAAACCTCCATATTCAGATCCCAGAGGACTACTCTATTCAAGGAGATTCATTCCATCATAGTATGCTGTATTTAATTATACTTCAAGAGTATACAGAACTGGATAAAAAATGTGGTAGCGTAAGCAAGAATATAAGGTTAAGCATGATAAACTGTTACTAAAAAGAAAGAGAAGAAATACAAGACTTTGCATAACCATGAAAATCAGAGTTGCACTCACTGATTTTTATTTATGTATTACTGTATAAAAAAAATATTCAGTGACAACCAGATTTGGCCTTGCTCCCTTGCCCCTTATCCTAAAATGCACTTTAAATTCAACAGGTTCACTCACACATAGTAATTCTGTAGGCAAATGAAGCATTTATTATATGATCAATAACAGTTTACAAGGCACTTTGCACACCAGTTCCTCATTTACTAAAGAGGAAAGCAGCCCACATCCTACTTACTTAATAAAGACCTAAGAAAGGTCCAGAATATAGTTTGACAGCCACACAGCCAGAGAATAACATCTGCTACCACAACCTACACTGCAAACCCTAAAAAAAAAAAATATTACATTTGACAAAATCCCAAGTTTCGATGTGAAAACAAAATCTTTGGCTAGGCTCCACTACCTAAAATATACTATTACTTATGATTATGCCACCACAGGCATTGAATATTTAATTTATCTGAAATTATACAATCATTTTGAAACTTTTATTTCAGTTAAAACCAGTATGAAATTGGCCTTTTTTCCTTTACAATTTACTGCAGTTTTTTCATTCTGAAATTCAGACAATTAAAATAAAAATATAATAAATGTGCAGTAAAGTGACATGCAGTAAACAAATATGTTTACTTTTTGTAGCCTCAGCATAGCAGCTGAATAAACTGGAACTGCCCAGATCTGAATGAACTAATGAAGAAAACAACAAAAAGGAAATAAAGGACAATTTGATACGATTCGAGATAAGCAAGGAACTGAACTGTTTTCTGCATCTGCACTATACATTTCACTGCTTCTTGTCCTACAGACTGATAAATACAAATGTGGTATTTTCAATGCAAGATTGGAGTAATTGGGTATGAACTTCTAATAGAAATACTCATTTTCCACATATTTTTGCCCTGAAAAGCAAAGTGATGAGTCTTTAATACTTTTGTCTTTATTTGGCCCTTGCTTTTAATGTAGATGCAAGCTGAGAAGATTCAAGAAGATCCTACACAAGAAGTAAAAATTGCCATGAGCTTAAGTGGAAAAAAGCACTTTTTGGGTGGGTGGGATTTTGAATGTTAAATAGAAAAGCTATAGAATGACCATTTGTTTTTCACATGTAAGACAAGTACAGTTTGGGTTTGTTTTCTGTTTTCCCCAAAAACTGGAAGACATTTTTTTGCCGAGGAATAATATGGATATATAACTATTTCAGTAGTGAGAGACAGTCATTTCTGGAGACTAAAACTGTATATGAATCTGCTGAGCTGGAAGAAACTGTACAGGACAAAAACTTCAGAGGAAGTAAGCCCAGAACACAGATAACAGTCTGATGAATTTTTGCCCTTGTGTGCTGATTGTGTTTCAGTTCTTAAGTCTTTTTAAAGTGACTTTAAAAAGCCAAATGTTCAAGCTTTCTTAAGTTTGACTTCTCCCTACAACAGATCTCGAGACAGTAAAAAACCTGTGTGTCCCATAACAGATTCACTCTTTTCTCCCCCTTTTTCACATATATATGATAGCAGATAAGTCTAAAGAGCCTTCAGAACCAGTCATTCAAATTGCAGAGACGGCAAAGGGAAAATACATACCAGTGTAACATCAACATTTTCCATGAGGTGTCAGCAGAAGTATCTGAACATATTGCTGAAGTCTTTCAAGTGTTTTCAGGCTTCTAAGCAGTCACAGAGGAACAAGTTTCACATGTGTGATGTAAATAACCTTTCATAGCTTGTGTTTTAGTCACTCAGTACTCGAAGTGGCACTACTACTTACATCCTCTTTCCCTCTCCAGCCTCTGCAAGTGCTACTCTTGCTTCCCTCTCCAGACATCCCTTTATCAAAACGTAGCTGGTATTGAATGCGCTAGCTTTATTTTCCAGCACTTGCAAGCTGGAAAAAAGTCATGTCCTACACGTCTTTTATGTTGATAATTACTTAATTAAGGGAATTTAAATTTATTGAATGTCTCCAAGGACAAAAGGGTATTTAGCTATGAACTTCTATTTCATGAGAATGAGAATCACAGAACAGCTTGTGTTGGAAGGAACTTTACAGACCATCTAGTTCCAACTTCCTGCCATGGGCAGGACTGCTACTCACCAGATCAAGCTGCCCAAGGGCCCATCCAACCTGGCCTTCCAACACCTCCCTACCCAACACCTCCACAAATGGGGCATCCACAGCTTCCCTTTGCAGCCTGTGCCAGTGCCTCACCACCCTCTGAGTAAAGAATTTCCTAACATCTAATCTAAGTCTCTCCTCTAAAGTTTCAAATCATTCCCCTTTGTCCTATCACTATCAGAAAATGTAAAAGGTTGGTTTCCCCCCTGTTTATAAGCTCTTTACATTCTGACAGGCAGCAATGAAGTCTCCCTGAGGTCTTCTCCGCACTGAACAAGCTCAGCTCCCTCAGCCTGTCTTCATAGCAGAGGTGCTCCAGCTCTCTGATCACTTTTGTGGCCCCCTTCTGAACTCCAACAGCTCTGCATCTTGTGCTGGGGGCCCCCAGTCTGGATACAGTACTCCAGATGGGGTCACACAAGGGCAGAGTAGAGGTGGACAATCACTTCCATCTCCCTACTGGACACCCCTCTTTTTGATGCAGCCCAAGATAAAGCTGGCCTTCTGGGCTGCAAGCACACACTAGCCTTATAACCTGAATTATGCCACTGCCGATAAGAATCACTTAGGAGCATACAGCATGCCACATTATACTACTCTAACTGCCTATTCAGAAATTAGCAACTCTTTCTATTTTTCTTTTTCAAGTGAGGACATAGATGGACAAGTTAAATGTTTCATAGCAATATTTACGCAGAAAACCTCATTTATAAACAACAAGCCACCTTTTGCAAAACATGAAACTTGATTAATGCCAGAAGCAATGTACCTATTTAGAAACCGAAATGCATGCATTCTTTATCACACATGTTGGACTTCCCATCTAATATTCAGAAAAGGTATTTGTACAGGTTTTGAATTATGTATTTTTAAAATGTTCCATAGCTTTGCAAGTAGAGTCAAAAGGTATGCTCCAATTTTCTAAAAATTCAAAACATCACCTTTATCTCTAGACTGATTATGCAGAAAAGACGTGTTATCATTTTTAACAGTAAATAAAGATATCAATTTTTAGTAATGTGCTTTTATATTTTCACTATATTATTTTAATAATTGTAGTACGACGCTCTACATTGTAAACCTTAAATATATGCATGTATGTGGCTAGACTCCGCAAAAATAGAAATAATAAAATAATAGGATTAGATTGATTAAATACACAATTTCAGTCTTGATAAATATCAGGAGCTTTTATGTGCTTCTTAGACATCCACTAAAGACTGCTGAATATACATTTGCAAGATAAACATTATGCTTTAAATCAAGTCAAAAGAGCATGAGGCTTACTACATGGGATTATAACCACAGTGCAACTTAGGAAATTGAATTCATTTGAGATTTTTCCATATTCATATTTCAAATAACGAGTGTTTCACTGGAGCAAAATAGTATTTGAATAGAAGCACAACAGATTTGTAAGCTTTCATTTCTGGTTTCCCTTTAGGTTTGACCGTTTTCCTGGACAACAGCACTACAAAAAAGTTAACAAGCTGGCATTCCAAAAACCAAAAAGAAGCAAATCCAGCATCTCCTTTGGTTTAAGCCATCACCTGACATTAGCAAAGGTCAGTCATCACTCAATTCCTAAGTTTTCAAGTTGAATTTACTTTGATGACACCTGGCGACAGACAATTAAATATGGAAGGCTACTGGTAAGTCCCTGAACATCAACGTTGCATCTTGCTCTGTTGGCCAGTAGAAATGCAGAGAGCACTAGCTCTGTAGACAGGTGTGTAGAACCTAGCTAATTTTTTATGATATTTTATGTATGTAAAGTGGAAGTACAAATCAATGCATACCAATATTTTGATTGGCCCCACACACAGAGTTCCACAGCAAATTGTAGCTCTTCAGCAAAGAGCAAGTTTATTTTATATAATTTCTTGAAGAAATTTCCATGATTTTTTTTTAAAATATGCATACAAAAGATAATAGCACATATTTTCAGCTAGTACAAGTATTTTTCTGAATATGAAATACTGTTTCTTTGAATGACATTAGATTTTCTAAAATAGAGCCACTTCATTTGGAGACAAAAACATAAAAAGCATTACTTACCTGCATTGGAACCAGTCAAGTTGTAACGTGCATTCAGCTTTTTAATGATATTTTCATGAATCTGATACCAGTCACTCTCTGTGTTGCACCTATAAAAATGATAACTTCTTTAACTCTGAAATGGGAACACAAGATTTTCAGACCAGTTTCACCACACACCTCTATGTGAATCCTTTTCTGTTCAAAAAACTAAGTCAGTGGGAGCAAATAAAGACCCAAGAAACTGCTTGGATCAATGGAAAGTATGAGAGCAGTCATATCATTTGAGAAATGCCTCATGGAAATATCTGCTACTTGTGGAAAAGGACAGGAGAACGACAAGAGCAGTTATGCTCTGGAACTCCTCATGAGCAAGTTCATCATCTATAATTCTATCCTTCAGTTCCAAAATACACAGAATATCTGTCCCACGACACTCAGGAAGACACACGGGACTCAGATTTAGTCTTAGACAAAGATCTGTACTGTACACCTTGAAGTTATTTAAAATGGAATAAGATCTTCAAGAGACAGTCAATTAAAGAGCAAATTATATCTCAGTACATAAATGGAAAATAGCACTTTTTCCATGAGGAAAAATAGGCCACATTGAAAAGTGAACAGCTTAGACTTGACCTCGTCTTACTAAATCTGCTTTTCAATAATGTTTCTTCTTCCCTTCTTTTTTTTTTTCTTTTTTTTTTTTCTTTTTTCTTTTCTGTTATTTTAAAAACAATCAGCGAATTTTAGAAAATAGGGTATAATGGGCAGATATATAAATCTAAAAATTAGTTATCCAACAGCAAACACTTATTTGACTTCAACATCCTGGGAGTCTTAGTAAGAGCCAGCAAACATTTTCACTGTCACACTTGATTGTTTTTCTGCGGCATCATCTCCAGCAGCTCTAATTCAGCACAGTATGAGTACAGAGAAGAAGAGAAAGGCTGCCTAAAAGCCTTCCACGTCTTCAACATTTGAGTGCAAACCCTGAGAGTCAGAACTTCCTCACGCACTTGACAAAATGCTTCCAGGTTTATGTAATTAGAATAGGCCACTGCACAAAACAGCTCTTACTATAATCTCTCAGATCAAGATCAGCAGGAAATTACATGCACTGTGTTGCTACAAACAGAAAGACGAACTGTTTTCCAAATACTGTCAAACTCCACTATTTCACGAACCACTCATTTTAAGATCTATTTTTGATTTTTCATTCTCCTCCATTCCCCAGCATTAACTGCCTCTTACACTTATGCTATGTCCATTAAACAATTACTTACCTACCTTGCCTTCTTTTTTCTCTAAAATTACTTCTGCTAGCTGCCTATGCAGCACAAGCTGTCTAAACAAGCCTTGAAAACACTTCATATTGCTTCAAAGAGAGAGCTCCGGAAGCTCTTACAAGGATGTGATAAATGCTGAAACATACAAGAAGATCTGAAAGGATGCAATCTTCATTTTTAACACTATCCCTTTTTACAACACATCTGTAGAACTAGCCAAAATTTCTAAACTGTGATGAAAAAAAAGAAATTAGCTACTACACTTTTTTTACTCACACCGCATTTAAAACCATTGTTTTTGATGTAAACCTACTGTGAAATAGTTCCAATAGTTATGAAATAAAAGCTATTCCTTACATGTACACTTTCAAGATGAGGTCATCCTTTGAATCTCCTGCCAGCAAATCTGCAATACTGAGGACCGCGCAGCCGAAGGGCCGTCTGTATTGTACGTTGCAGGCATTTTTCTTTTCTCCAGCTCCCATTCGCCCTGACAAACAAAATATACATTTGATGCATAATGTACAAAACTGTCTCCCTTAAAACCACAGAAGGGAGGCAGGGAGCAATCCAGCTCTGTATGGTGACAGCTCTGAGTATGTAGTGCCAAGTGTACTCCGCAAATCTAGTCCACCACTGTCTACACTACATTAGGATAACAAATGGTTCAGGAAACCCATTAATGATGTGTTCATCTCGTAATACCAGAGGTACTGCTCATCCTCTCATGACCTCGAGTCCGCAGCTCTTCCTGATACTCAGTGACAGCTCTACTTGAGACACCACCAAATAAAATTTAGTGTTCAGACATGACAGAGTGTCCACCATTTGCTGTCCAATAACAATATTTTACTGTGGCTGTTGTTACTTCTGATTTATGTGAGAGGTCTTGTGACTGAACCACTACAGTTTAGAAATCAAACGCTGCCTCCAAGCAGGCAACTTGCTAGCAGGGGGATAAAACTGCAGAAATCGAGGAGAGATGAAACTCGGGGAGAAAAAATGACAAAGGGCAGAAGAACAAATTATGGTACAGAAAGAAGGCAGTCAAGGAAAATGGAGTTGAAACAAAGTATTTTTCTATTTTATTTAAATGCAACTCATCAGTCCTCTTGTGGTGTTTCTGATAGATGAAACTGCCCTCTTTCTAACCATTTTATTCAATTATGTTCTGGTAGCTATGTATCTTTCCTACCAAGTCTTAACTTGTGACAAGAAAAGCCTCTGGCTGTATTTGCCACAGGCAATGCCTTCTCCGTATATTCTATACATCACAGAAGCTAAAAGAGTAATTGTTCACTTTCACACCACAAGGCATATAAATGTTATTTTAACTTTTTAGCATTTCAGTCATTTGTATATAGACTTGGCTGAGAATATATTTTATAACTACACAGGAGGGAAAATTCTATGCCACATTGTTCTTTAAAGCATTTACTCTCCTCAAATTAACTCATATTACACCACAATTTACTACACTTTTTCTCAGTCCTTGCCAATAAAAATGCAATTATTTTGATATTCCAGTGAAACACTACAACATCATGAAAGTCCAAGGAAAAATCATCCGAGTTGTCAAACAGCATTTACTCTACAATAAATTGTTTCTGAACTCAGTGCAAGTTATAACTACCATATTTGAAAACAAAATACCTTGCAAAGAAAGGAAAATATACTTAGTAATGCAGTGATGCAACTAGGGAGACCATTTGCGAAAAAAAGGAATAGATCTAAGATCTCAAAAGCAAATCCAAAGAATCTTGCTTCAAATCAGCACAACCAGGAGGTTAACTTCTTTAAATACATATGCAGCACACTTTTTGACTCTTCAGCTTTGTTTCAGAGGACACAATATCTGCCTGTACCGTCATGGATTAAAATTATTACATGACATTGTTCTCTTACGTATTTCTCCTCTTTACAAAGAGATCAGGAAGAAGACAAAATTTATCTGAACAATTTCATCAGATACTATTTAATTTCTAGGTAAGTTTCCCATGAACAAACAGCGCTTGAAATTACTCTCTTTGTAACAAGAATGGACTCCCCAGTGACAACTCCATCATTTTAGTACAGTTCACATATGATGCCCTAATTGTCTTTTGCAATATTAACAAAAAATACTGTATCAAAACTCATCAGCACACTTGAAAAATAACACAAAAAAGTGCTGAGAAATTCATGGCAATTTTCCCATTAGAAGAGAGGCATTTGCTTCATGAAATTTATACAGAGACTTTGCCAATCTAACAGATCCCAAAGCTGACCCCAAGTGGTTCTCTTCACTGTTATATACCTACCAAATGTCAGATTTCTACTCACAGACCGTTATACCTACCTATTCGAATAATGTGCACAGTGATATAGATGTCCTTCCTTAGTTCACTGCTACTCAAATCCTGCACAAGATCAGAACCTCATTATTTCTGCCTCCTGATTAAAACGTGATATTTTAAAAGAACTTTATGCATTGTTTTTATTGCCAGTAACAGTAATAAATGAACACTGAGGTCATTTATATAGAATTAACAAATTATCTATTTAACACTTCAAATTGGTGGTCATGCACTCAGTATGTCTGTCCTAAAATATCATGGGCAAGAATTTGTTGTAAGGCAGCAAAATGGGAGAGGACAGAAAAGATTCAATGCATGCCTTGAGGAGTAATGGTGCTTTTGTGCAACTCCTAATATCTTGAAGTTACAAAGAACACTGCACAAACCATATTTTGGGCCTAGAAGTCACAAGTCTTTGTTGAAAGGAAAAAGATTGCTATATATTTGCACATGGAGTACATACATCCACATATTGCCAAAAAACATTCAACTTGGGATTTTAATAATACCTGTTAACCACCCATTAGAACTAATAAAGTAAAAGCTTAGGGAGCACCACTGAGTCAACTACATAAATACCCAGCATAAAAAGGATTGAGAAGAGGAATAACTCACCACAAAAAGAGAACAGTGTCTTTCAGGCTTTTCTGGACATTTTGGCAAACCATTTCTATTCAGTCTTAAAAAAAATCGTTCACTGTAAGAAAACAAATACAACAGATACTTTGAACAACACTACAGAAAATTAGATCTCATATTGATCTTATTTTTAGATGTACCTTTGTCAAGATATAAAAGAATGAAATAATTGCTTATTAAAAGGCTGAAATGTATCAAGAAAAAAAAAGGAAAAGACTAGATAAGAGCAGTTAATCATCTAATAAAATTACTGAAAACTCAATGCAAACTAGAAGACTGATTGTAGTTTGAAAAAATGATACTGTATACCCTAGTCCATACAGCAATAAAATTCTATATCCTAGAACTGAAATTAGATGTGAGTGATGTTGTATTGATTCTTGCTAAACAAATGTCAACATTGCCACATAAGTATTTAATCAATATTCTTTTTCAAAGACAGGAAGATAAATGCCAGGGGACATTTTTCCTGCCTAACTCTATGAAAATTTCTTTCTAGACTACACTGATTTTAGTGATCTTATAAGTTCCAGCAGACAAATTTCATTTTCAGAATTCTGTTCTGCAGTCAGCTGCAGGGTGCCAAGTACTGCATCTGATACAAATAACAACAGTGACAGTAGAGAGATGCAGAGAACTCTTATTTTGGAGTAAAAGTGGGTACAAGAACCATTGAAAGAGAAATTACTCTTTGAAAAATTCCTATTTGATACTAGCTTCATCATGGACAACCTCTAGGAGAACTTGTCACTTTCATGAATGGAAAACTTTGGAAAATTCAAGCTTTCCATGGTTTGGGTAATTTTCTACTAGATACATATATATCTAGTAGATATGTACATATCTAGATATATACATAACCATAACATTTATGCATTAAGAGACATGGAACATGGGAAAAAGCAGAGGACTCAGAAATGGTAAGTTGTACACAAGTGTTACATGTATGTGACTCAGAAAGTAATTCCTCCTATTTATTTCCATGGAAACTACAATAGATACAAACAATACAACAACACTGTTTGATAGAGCAAATTCCCAGCTACAAAGCACTATTTCTCAATACAGTCACACCATTAGCTATGCATTTTCATCAGTGATGAAAAAGAACCTGCATGCCATGCTAATGAAAATCTGCACCAGCAGAGGTGACCCACTGTTTCACAGCTGCTATGATGGCAATGGTGCTAGGGAAATGTTGCCCATGCAGTCCACTTTCATTGATCCAAACAGATAGAAGTCAGAAGGTGCCAAATCCAGACTATATGGTTGGTCTGGTAGGACAGTATTGTCACCAATAACGACGACAGGAAACTGCCATCTTCAGCCTCACATTGGTTCAATAGATCCCAACAAACTTGCTTGCAGCGTTCCTTCTGTTTGATACTCAAGTGTTGCCACCATTGTTTCCAATGCACTGAAGCCAATATCCAGCTCTGTATATAGTCCCCTGGCCATAATCCGACAATTCGCACAGAGAAGCTGACTGAGACAGTCTTCATTTTGTGACATGACAGCTGTGCACGGCTTTCCAGAACATGATTTGTCTTTCACATCACTGTCACCACTGAGGAAACACATCATCCACTGCCTCACTGTGCTCACATATACTGTTCAGTCTCCATAAACGTTCAGCAAGTGTTGATGAATACTAATGGGTGCCATTTTTTCCACATGGAGGAATTCAATTCCACACCTTTGCTTCATATGCACTTCCATGTCAGACATCATTGTGTCAGACTGCCCCTCTGCTGCCATCTGTCACACAGCAACAACATATAACAGAAAACTGGTTTCAAGGTTCAGCCTCTACTGCCATATCATCCGCCTCTGACACCATGAGCTGATATAATAAATTCGGAGGCACTACTTTCAGAGCAGCCAGTGTATCTGTTACTCTTCACAGTTTCACCCCCAGCCCTACCTGGCCAGACTATTGAGTCTGGACAGCCTGTAATACTCCAATAAAACAAAAAAAAAAATCCAAACTGGGATTATTGCAACTGGTTTTCTTCCAGCTGGACCCACCTCTCCTGCTTATTCCAAAAGCTAAGCATGCTTTACCATTGCTCTCAAAATGCAGCTGGCAAATCACAAGAAATATGTTGGATAAGATGCGACACAATATAGTCTAATTAAATTTTTTGTTACACCAGCATTTGCTTTGTGCAAAATCTGGATCAATCATTCACAGAATCAGTCATCCACATTGAAAAGGACCTCAGAAGGTCTCTAAGTCCAACCTCCTGCACCAGCCATAAGGTCAGATAGGCTTACTCAGAGCTCATCCAGTCAGGCTTTAAAAATCTCCAGTGATAGAGGCTGTACAGCTCCAGCGGACAACGCCTGACTGTCCTCAGGTTTTTCCTTACATTCAGATGCAGCCTCTCTTGTTTCATTTCTTGTTATGTTAATTAATGGCACTGACCATCTTGCAGGTACAGGCAGATGCCCGTTAGCCCCCTCCCCAGGTTGACCTAGGCCCACTGCCTCGGCTTCACTCCACAGGCCAACCAGTTCGGGGTCTTCTGCTGAATTGCCATCCAGTCGCTCATGTCTGTCTTGTATGAGAGGATCCCAACTAGCATGGTTTAACCAAAACTGCACAGGAGGGAATAATCTCTTCTCTAGACCAGCTGGCCACATTAATGTTATAGCCCGAGCCACTGTTAGCTTCAAAAGCACATTTCTTAAAAGTTATGACTGCAGAGTACTTCATTAAATGGCTGCCACTTACCCAGGCTGAACCTACAAATGCCTAGCCTTTTTTCTTGGGAGCATTTAAAAACGTTTGTGCAGTCTTCAGCTATGTAGGTTTGGGTTTTTTTCATCAGACAGCATAAAAGGCAGAACCTAAGAATAGTACAGTTGAACTCAAATACCTCTGAGTGCATGAAAATGTTATTTTCTCAGAAACATTCCTGTTTCATGATACAGCCAACTTCTGCAGCTTTTGTCTCCATGGAAACTTTAAAACTGAGTTTTAAAGAATGTTTACATGGATATATTTTTTTAAGAGAAACAAGTTGGTATTTTGCTGTTGATTTAAAAACGTTATTCAACAGACTTATGTCTTTTCGTTTACATTTACTTCCTTCTCAATATCAGAAAATACCATAAGAAAGCACAAAGCTTTATTTATGGAATCTCACGCAAAGTCCATATTTACTTATATTATGTACTTAAAGTTAAAGCTTTAGGACCCATTTTGTTGGATGATGTGCAAAACTAAAGAAAAAAGAAAACAAGCCTCTGTTCCAGCAATAATAATACAACTTTTGTGTGCTGAAACCTGCAGTATTCATTAATATAAATTTGATCAACACAAGGTGATTCTGAATTTTACTACCTTACCTTCTTCAGTCTGTAGGACTATGTAGAAGGAATATATATTTGTATACACACATACCTTGCTGCATTTTTTTGCCTTTAAAGAAACCACTAGAAATATCAGTTTAAAGAAAATACCATTTAACAAGAAACTGTCTACCAGTGGATAAACTATTGTCATAGTTTACCTAGGAACAGGCAAATGCTGAATTTAGCTGAGTGTTCTCTTTCTTCACTGAGCATACTTTCTGCAGAAGTCAAAGGCACATCCTTTAAAAGCTTCCTACTCACTATCCACATGGATGTGAAATTTGCAAGTGTTGCTTACACTCACAGACCATAAGATTATGATTCACAACACAATTAAAAGCCGGAGACTTTGGTCACACCACAAAGAATTGCACTGATTGCAACAGACATGTAATGGTTGTGCCGATCCATTTTCCTCATCTGAATTTGAAATTTTGTTTGACTGAAGCATGGGACGTAGCAATGAGAAAGGCAAACTGAACACAATAACCACCCCAAAATCTTAATCTTTGTTCAGTGCTACAATGCATTTCAAGCAAAAAAAAAAAAATAGCACCAGTTACAGTTCAGATAAAAACAGTTACCTTTGAACATTACCACAGAGCAAATGCAGATATACTTGCAAGATCATGATAATAAAATAACTTTTCAGTAAAATATAGAGAGCATTCATGTTTATAAACAATTCAGAGTATTTCCATAGAGAAAAATAGGTTAGAAAATGATTGAGGAAAGTAAACAGCCTTTCAAAAACAAAATAAAGACTGAGAATTCCCAAGATCTGAAAGCTTGGCTTCAAACAGTTGCAAAAGCTCCAGAGGGTGAAATCTAGGGCTAGGATCTTATTTCACAGCAGCTTTCTCAGCAGTCATTTACACACACGTATATACGGCAACCACATACAGCAGAAATCCCAAAGCAGAAATATCTTTCCTTTCTATGAAGATGATTTGATTTTAGTTTAGATTGCAATGCATTTTTTATGAGCACCAATCTTCACAGATAAATATGCTGCACAGATTTAAACTCTGCTGTCTTCTCACCGAAAATAAGGAAATAACTAATGCTGGAGAGATTAATTTAAGAAGGTCAGCGAGGGATTTCTGTACTGTAACTTCCCGTGTATTAGCGAAGCAACAATGTGTTCCAAATCTGCAGGCTTAACACAGGAACTTAAAAGAAACACTGCCACAAACTGTTCTGTTTTCATAAGCAACCCCTATTTTCTCAGTATTAGCAGGAAAACGTTACCAGTCACATGTTAGCAGTCTAGACAGACTGCTTGTTCTGTGATTTATAAACACACTATCAAAAAACAAAACAACAAGCAAGAAAAATAGCCACATGGCATACACTTACAGTGAAGCTGCTCATCCAATTCTCTGAGCACAACTTCCCTTTCTGACATCTTTGCAAGTGGCCCTTATGTAAATAAAGGTTTTAGTGTTTTCTAAACTAAATGCTGAGAGACAATAAGAGAATATTGATGTGCACTGCATGAGCTCAGGTCTACCAAATTCCAGAACACCATTAAGGGATGCTCACTAAGAGCTAGAATTTGGATTTACTGAATGTGTAGCTAAAGGGTCATTGACATCATAAAACCACAGTCAGACACAGAAGGCTGCGCTTTTACTTAGGGGTGAAATGCAGAGGAATGTGGTACAAGTCATAAGTTACTGAAGTAAATAGACAAAA